TCTCTCTCTGAACTTGATCCTGCCTTCGTCTGTCTATCATCAATAGACGATTGTGTGGTGGCAGTGACTGACTGTATTGTCCAGGCGGCTGTTTATTCTATTCCTAAGACCTCGACACGTTTTCCACGGTATCCTCGTCCATGGTGGAGTCCTGCCTGCCAGGAGGCACGGAAGGCTCAAAGACGGGCCTGGGATACCTTTTACGACAGTATCCCACTCTTTCTAATCACATTGTTTATCAGCGGGCCCGTGCCCATGCTCGGCAGGTTCGACGTCAAAGCCAAAAGGAGTCTGGAGACATCTTAGTAGAAACTTCCCATCCTAAGCACAGTGAACTTCTCTTGAATTCGAGGGCCATTAAACATATACCCATTGAGGTTACTCCCCCACGCTTCCTTGAATTCCTCATGAGGAGTTATCGTTGAGAGGGATTTGAAATCTATCCCCGAGACGGAGATCCTTGCTGGTTTCTCCAATCAAGGAGTTTCGGCAGTTCGAAAGATCTCCACTCGTCAAGATGGAATTATGGTGCCTACCTCAGTTTTAATTTTGACGTTTTCATCACCACGTCCACCTGCCGCCATTAAGGCAGGTTATTTGAATTTTAAGTACGGCCCTATATTCCCAACCCTCTCCGATGTTTTCAGTGTCAGCGGTTTGGTCACTCAAAGACATCTTGTCGTGGTTCTGTGACGTGTGCTCGTTGTGATGGCAAGGACCATGACTCCTACGAGTGCAAAATGGACCCTCACTGTGTTAATTGTAGTGGTTCCCACCCCTCCTACTTTAGGTCTTGCCCTAAGTGGGTGGTGGAGAAAGAGGTACAGCGTTTGAAGACTCTAAATAAAATCACACAGTACACCTGTACCTCGCTTTTTAATCATGCATTCACTATCAGATAAATCTTTAGGGCAAATGTCTCCTTTTTTTATTCAGAAGGGCTTAGAGGGGCTTGCTGGCTCTCCAAAGTCAGTTAAGAAGAAGACTGCTGTTCAGAGTCTTCTAGACGTGGTCGTTTACCAATTAGCAGATTTTTAACATTTTTTTTTATTTGGAATGGGGGGATCCATAATTAAAGAGAAAGAGATTCATTGCCCACTGACCCCACCCGCCATGGAATCCTACGAGGGGACGCACTTCAATATCAAACAAGAATGCTGCAGCAATGCCAGAGTTACGTGAGCACTATACCTAAACACCAGTATCAGACACGATGTCCACAACACCCATTGAGAATGCCCAACACTGGTACTCAGTTGACCCTAGCCCAGTGGACCAGGAATTCAAGGCCAAAGTGATGTGTTGCAGTGCCCCAAACACCACTCAACCACCAGGATCCTCTCCTCCCCTTCACGGGTCGCCACGCACGGCAAACACATTGGTGGATGTTTAGATCCCAGAGAAAGTAACTGAAAATACAGAACCTTCCCTGGAAGGTCCCCTCACCACGTACAGGAATCCACGTCGAGGGGATCTGAAGCAGACCGGGAATAAAGGTGGGAAATGGATAGAAGAGAAACTGGCAAGAAAAAATAATGACTCTCATGAGCTGAAGTTTTGAGTAGGAAAGATCGATCCAGAAGAACCACATAATTAGGAGATCAAATAATCTGGAAGGAACCGGCTGGTCCAGTCCTGACTGAGCAAATACATGGCTAGGGCCTGAGGAACCAGAACCAAAAGAGATAACTTAATGTTGGAGTAAAGTGGCAAAAGCATCCAGATGAGGAGTACCCCACTGACAGCATAGTCATCTGAAAACTTGAGGGTCGAGAAACTATTCTATGGATAAACCTGGATAAAACAATCCTCCACAAGGCAAAATTCACCCAGACTATGACACATAAGGAGATATATCTGCAACATGTGGGTCCAATAAATGAAGCCTAATGTTCGACCACAAAGAGAACAGGAATGGGTGTCCCCATTGTGATTGAAATAGGCCACAATAGTGGAATTGTCAGAATGGAGCATGACACACTGGTACTGTACCAGTGAACGAAAAGGAACCAAAGCATGTTGTACTGGCATAAGCTTCAAGATGTTAAAATGGTAAGACTTTACAATTTAAGCCTCTTGTTGGTGGACCCACACTCCCCAATCTTGAAGAGAAGCATTTGTAATTCAATGCAAATCAGGATGAGGTGGAGGAAGCTTGTCCTTGTTCAACCACCAATGCAGATAGTATGTAAGTGAAGGAGGAAGGGTAAATGAGGAGGCCAAGGGATCCCAAGCAAGACTGCATTGGCCTTGCAGATTCCAATAAAAAGAACACATATGTGCCCAAGTCCTCAAAAGCAACAGAACCTCTCATGCAGAAATTGAGGAAGCAGTACATGCATGGAGAACTGAAAGCACTATAGAACGGAGAAGAAGTGGAGAAAGTTGGGCCCAAATAAGGTGGGTGTTGAAAAATACACCCAAGTGGATAAGATAGTGGGTAGGCAAATGGAAACTAAACCAACTGTGGAATCCAACACAAGCTGTTACTGTCAGCAGCAGATGTGTGTGTTTAGAAGACTCCAGTTCAGAATGAGCTAATAGGAGCCAGTCGTCCATGTAGTGGTTTAAGCTCAACCCCAGAGCATGCAGAAGTTAGATAAAAGTCATAACCACCCAATAAAATACATATGATACTGAAGCAAGTCCAAAAGACTAGGCCCATCACTGATACACTACCCTGTAGTGGACAAACCGAAGATAGCCTCTGGACTGATGAGAGATATAAATAAGATAAGCATTTGTGACATCTACCTTTGTCATCCACAGTACTGGAGAAAAAAAAACCTGACTGTGATAAAGGACTTCATGGGAAATTGGGTAAGATCCAGAAATTGGTTGACGCAGAACACATGGATCACAACACAAATAACAGGGAGTAAAATCAGCACAGACTTTGATAGATGTAGAAAGGTAGTTGTATCCTGAGTTAATGGGAAGGAAATCGGTACAAGAGAAATAGATGAAGGGGAAAGGAAAAGGATGAAAAAGTCTTCTGACAAAACTTGGATCACCAAAGAATCAATAGTGAATAACCACCAAAGGGGTACAAATTCAGCCAAATGTGTCCCCACTGGACTAGAAACCACCTAATTGTCACTGGAACTGATGGCAAAGAAGATCCCAATGTCAAGACACGCATTAAATTTCAAAGCCCCTAGTGTCAAGAACTGGTAAAGGATGGAGGGTTACAGGATGAGAAACAGTTATAGGAGAGATCATGGTATTAGAATTAAACAAATGAGTAACCAAAGACTAAAGGGTCGAATGCGGACTCAAAAAGTCCACACAGGATTACAACACTGGAAAATCTTTATAAACAATCCGATGGAGAAAAAGAGCCATCCAGAAGTCAAAAGATAAGGTGAAGGTAGATGCACCTTTGAAAAGACAATGTCCTTCCCAATAAGATTTCAACAGCAATGAAACCACATGTGAATAGATAGGACGGAAGAGGACAATAGCAACAAAGAAGAGTAAGGAGGGAAAGTGTATCCCCCCCAAAACCTCTCAGGAGATCAGTGGACTGCCTCAGGAAGGAGGAGTATGCCGTATAATTACTGTAGGAGAACTGTAAAGGTAAGACGAATGTTTTATTCTCAAATTTCTGGTTACGTAATAATATGCATATTTATCTTTCAATAGACAGTAGCTTACACTATACACTGAGTGGTCACAAGTAAATACACACCTAATTTTTCGTCATTTAACTGATTTATACTAACTAATTTGAGTT